AAATTAATAGACGGATTAAGTGAGATAGAGCACAACAATGTATTTAAAAAGGAAAGTCAAAAAGTTGCATTACTGGCAAAGAGTTTTTTGGAAACTAATGATGCAATGAATGAATGGTGTCAACTTAAAAAGACCAGTAATTGTTATGTATGTAGTACAACAAAACAAAAAAGGGATGTTTTGTTAAAACAACTGAAAAATGTATGTGTTGTCACAAGGACTAGTTATTTCCCTAGCCCCCCCAGCAAAACTGTGAAATCTCCACAAAAGCTGTTAACAGAATGGAGATTGCCCCCAAGGCTCTCTTTTGATAGTGACTTGGAATCCACGTTAACTGAAACAAAAACTCAAATAGAAAATTCTCGGCAATTGTTGAAAAGTTTTAGTAGGGATCAAGAAAATGAAGATATTAATATAATGAAAGAAATGCTTAGAAATCAGACTGATTTGTTGGATAGAACCCATAAAACCCTGTCTCACATGTCTAAAGAATTAGACATAAATGTTACTAATTTTGACAATTTGCAGAGACAGATTACTAATCTGGGTAGTGCTACAGATATTTTGTGGAAAGCTACAAATCAGAAAGATTTGGATTTTACTTTGAAAGTGAAAGTGAAAATGAAATAGCTCAAAGGTTAAGTTGTGAAAACGGGCAGGCGAGAAGTGAAATAGAAAATAAATTGGGAAATGTACAAGGAAAGGGTCAGTTGGATATTCTCAAATTGGCTAAATTGATTAAGGATTTGCCTAAATATGATGAAAAGAGAGGACCTTTTTACAATATGAGTGTTTTTGAAGGTGAAATGAATAAAAGACAATTTGATGATGTGGTAGCCACAAGAGGTCTTTTGATCTGGCTGCCAACTTCATTAAGTGAATGGGTTAAAGTTAAACTCATTGATGTGTTGGAAGGGAAGTCAAGTGAAAAGCCCCGAGTTGAGTTGGAGGAATTGTTTCCAAATAATACACAGAGATTGCTAATGGTGGTACAGTGTGCAACTGGTGTGGAGAATTTTCAATTTTCTACTCTTGATTCATTTAAAATGGAAAAAAATGATGATATACGTGTTTGTGCTAATTTGTGGAATAAGGCATGGAATTTGATTACTGATACAGAACCATCTGCTATGTCTAAAGAACAACATAAGCAGAGTGTTACTGAATTTGTCTCTAGAATAGCAGGGTTGCCAAATGAGATAAAATTAAGAGCTTTTGATTCAACCACAGTTGATTTTGCTGCTACAGAAATAATGAAATCTTTGCAATTTTTGCAAAAGAAAAACACAGAAACAGCTAAGATTTTTGCGTTCACAGGCACACTTTTCTCTAGGGATACTTCAGCAGGTCTGGCCCCTATTAACTATGTGTCTCGTGAAGAAGGTAGAGGAAGATATGAAAATAATAATAGAAATGGTAATTTTAGAGGGAGTTCTATGAATAAACCACAAAATTACCAGGGTACTAGAAATTATTCGGCCCCATCCCAAGATAGATATTATAGGGTTAGTCAGAATAGTCCTATGATATGCTATAAATGCAACCAAGAAGGTCATGTTAGGAGATATTGTCCCAAAAATGAAGAAAAATCTTACACAGTGAAAGGGAAAGAAAATGGCATTGTGCCAGGCTATAAGAATCTACAGAGAGTGGCAGCTGTAGAAACCGAAAATACATCTTCAAACCCCCCTCAAATATCAAATCCATATGAAGAGTGTAGACGGATGTTAAATGCCATTGAAATGAAGGTGGAAGCAGTCACAAGTCCACAAGTGAATTCTGCTTACCACACTAATAAATAGGGATGTGTAACCCCTAGTTGTTCTCTGGTCTATCTCACTGATATTACTCTGGGTGAAGATGGAAGGCCATATATTTATGGAACACTAGAGGGGAATATAACAGAGTTTTTAGTAGACACAGGAGCTGCAGTGTCTTTAACCAACAAAAGCTTGCCTTTAAAAATTGAAGCACCAACAATTTCCCTTCTAAGTTTTAATGGAGCACATGCCCATGCAACTCTATCCACTGATAATTACATCAAATTTGAAGGAGGTAAAATAAATTGTGACTTATGTGTCGACCTCTCATCCCACTGTACTATTTTGGGGATGGATGTTATCAATGGAAAAAAGTTGTATGTGGATTTATTGAATTTGGTTTTGTGGCAAGCTCCAGGTGAGAGCAAATCAGGTGGAGTGGTTAGACCTAATGATTTAGGATGGTATAGTCATGTCATGGCTGTAAAGCAGGGTGAAGTGTCACCTTCTATACAACAAGATGATGATTTTGTAACCTATCTTAAAGGAAAATACCCCACAGTATGGTCTAAATCTAAACAAGATTGTGGGAGAATGAATTTACAAGTTGTCATTGAAGGACCAGACCCTCCTGCAGTAAAACAATATAAAATTCCAAAAGAATCAGAAGAAGGTGTGAGTCAAGTGATAGAGGCATTGGTATCTCAAGGAGTGCTGAGAGTGGGTAATTCCAAATGTAATTCCCCCATTTGGCCAATAATCAAGCCAGATGGCTCTTATCGTTTAATTGTGGACATGCGAGTGGTGAATAAGTATACCCCACCAGCAGCCCATATAGTGGCCTCCTCACCAGATATCATGGCACAAGTAGACGGCAATGCTAAGTATTTTTCTGTTCTGGATATAGCCAATGGGTTTTTCTCAATACCAGTACACCCAGATAGTCAGTATCGTTTTGCGTTTACCTTTAAAAATCATCAATATCTGTTCCAGGTGCTGCCACAGGGCTTCCACTCCTCGCCAGCTTATTTTCATAAAGCACTGGCTCAAGTATTGGAACCCCTGGGGTATGGGAGCAAGATTTTGCAATATGTTGATGATCTGTTGGTTCAAACAGTAACAAGGGAAGAGCATGAGCAGATACTGTGTGATATTTGTCAAGCACTGGCAGATAATGGGTTAAAACTGAACACATTCAAAGTGCAGATCTTGAAAGAAAGCGTGGCTTTCTTAGGAGTAAATATAGATCCAGCAGGTAAAACACTACGAACAGCAAGGGTTAAAGCGTTACAGCAATTGCCAAGGCCAATGACAGTGTCTGATCTAAGGAAATTTTTAGGTTTGGTAAATTTTAGCAGAGAATTCATCTATGATATGGCAGGAATAGCAAAACCCCTGTACAATATGCTAAAAGATAGTGCTAATACAGATAAGCTACTCTGGACAGAGGAAGCTGAAAAGAGTTGGAACGTGTTAAAAGATGCTCTTACACAAGCGCCTGTGTTAGCTGCTCCCATTGAAACAGTACCATATATTGTTCAATGTTACGCAGGTGTCTCTTCATTAATAGCAATTTTGATGCAAGGGCAACATAGCTCCTTACGAATACTGGGATATTTTTCTAAAATCATGTCTCCAGTGGAAAGGGGAATGTTTTCCTGTGTAAAACAGCTCTTGGCTGTATGTTGGGCTTTAGAAGCAACACAACACATTGTAGGATTTGGCAGCTAATTTTACAAACCCCCCACAAACCTTTAAAACTGTTACACAATTGTTCTGATTTAGGAGTACATAGCCAGAGGGTAGCTCATTGGATATTGAAGTTACAAGATAAACCACTCAAGGTAGAAAGCAGTAAGAGATATGTTATTCCTGAATTGATAGAGATAAGTGGAACACCTCATGATTGTCAAAAGGAATTAGAAATTGAATCTAAATCTCCTTTTGAGAAACAAGCAATACAAGGGGCTCCTTGTTTGTATGTGGATGGAACAAGATTTTATGCTGATGGATCACATCACACAGGTTATGCCATTTATGATGATCATACAAAAGAAATGCAGAGATTTAAATTGCCAGGCCATATGTCTGCTCAGAGAGCTGAGTTAGAGGCTGTAAGGAAAGCTCTGGAAATAACAGCATATGACCCAGTGAATATAATCAGTGACAGCAGCTATGTAGTTAAAGCTTTAACACTTCATCTCCCAATATGGAGAAAACGGGGGATGGTAGATTCACAGGACAAAGCTTTAAAACATGCAGGTATTTTGGCAGAACTGTTTGACTATGCAGAAAAAAAGGGTTTAACTTGTGCTGTTGTTAAAGTTCAAGCACATCAAAACAGGAAAAATGGGGATGAAATGGCAGAAGGAAACAGACTTGTAGATCAGGGAGCAAAGGAAGCTGCTTTAATAGGAGAGTTGCAATACTCAGAAAATGTAATGATTGCAACTGTGAGTAAAAGACCAATATCAAATCCCCTACAAGATCTGAAAGAAAATCAGAGTAAAGATGTAGCTTTCAGTAGAGAAACAATGGATTTAGATACTGAAACTGGCTTGTACGGGATTAAACATGAGGAAACACAAACGTTTGTACCATTTGTACCTAGTGATATATTGCAGGAGTTGATTGTATTCAATCATCGTACACTGGGGCATTTGGGTACAGAAAAACTGTTTAAGGTCCTGCAAAATAAATTTTATCATCCTAATTTGAAACAATGGTGTACAAACATAGTGCAGGAGTGTCTCATATGTGCTCAATTTAATCCCAGACCTAAAGGTCAGAAACCAAAATTAAAGAGAGTACCTTTGGCAAAAGGACCATGGGACTCTATACAAATTGATTTTATTGGACCATTACCTATAGCTCCAGGAGGACTAAAGTACGGATTGGTAATTGTTGATATATTCTCCAAATGGGTGGATTGTATAGCTCTTACCAATTGTACAGCGTTAACAACATGTAAGGCGTTATGGAAATATGTATTTTCTGTATGGGGTTTTCCCAGAATCATTGAATCTGACAATGGTCCACACTTCATAGGAGAAGTACTTAAAGAGATGTGTAAATTGTTGGGGATCCAACAAAGATTTCATGTCCCATATCATCCACAGTCGGCCGGCATAGTGGAAAGAATGAATAGGACACTGAAATCTAGATTGAAAAAAATGCTTGAAGATAAAGGGAGTAGTTGGGTAACACACTTACCAGGAGTTTTAATGTCTATTCGTGCAACTCCAAACTCCAAAACGCAAGTGTCACCTCATGAGTTAATGACAGGCAGAACCATGCCAATTACTTTCCCCAATGAACCTTTTGTTCCAAGTACTTTCAAATTTGCTGCAGAACATGCTGAATGGTTAAAAGTGTTACAAGAACAGCTGCAGTCAGTTTTGAAGTTTGCTGCTTTGAATATGGCCCCTTCTGGTAAACAATGGGTTAAAGATGTAACTCAGGGGAATTATGCAGATAAGTTTAAACCAGGATACAAAGTGATGGTAAAATCATTTAGAACACCAGGTCCCTGGCAGGCAGGTTGGGAAGGACCTTATATTATTCTAAAGAAATTAGGACAAACTGTCTTACAGGTTCAAAGAGCAAAAGTTGGTAGGAAATGTAATAAAGCAATTCTTGTGCATATTGATCAATGTAAACTCACTAATGTATAAGAATAGTAAACTGCCATCTGTTTTTCATTACAGAATCAATAATGTTTGTTCATGGACAAAGACTGTTTAATTTTAAAAAGGACAAATTGTTTGGACTATCAAAAGACACTATGGACAAAAAGACTGTTCTCATGAATGCGATTGGAGAGGACATTACTTCACGGACTAAATCAAACCAATTGGGATTTCTTGATAATGTAACCTTTATAAAATTGCATAGCATCATACTGTTTTTAATCATGATGATGTTAGGTACAATCAATGCCCAAGGTACAAATACTCCAGATTGTGATATTAGAGATACTTTTTCTAAATGTACAGCATTCCCCTATGAGTGTAAAGTGAGATATTGTAAGACTCCTGATGTTGATTATTGTGGATGCATTAATGCAGACACATCTGAGGATGCAATATCCGGTGCGCTAATATTCCATGATAACCAAGAACCATGTATGACATATCTATCAGTTGACGGACGAATTGATTTAATCATTAATATTACCAAGGATCGGACATATATAATGCAAAATAATACGGAGAGTAGGTGTGTGGTACCTACTGGTATAGACAACACCCTTACCCTTACTATGTTTAATGTGAGAAGTGTTAACAATGATGGGTTAAATTGCTAAATCTACTTAATAGATACACTTGTTAATCCTTACACAAATGCTAAAGTAAAAGTACTCGAACAAACACAAGACAGCTCATTTACCTATCAAAACCCAGCTAAATGTAAGTATAGGTTATGGAGCTGATTTCTATAAACAGTTAAAAGAGTTATTACAAGTTATTGATAAAGCTGCGACTGGAGTACATAACACTTTAGTACAAATACATACAGTGCAAGGTATGATTAAAAGCATTAAAAATGATTATATCGAAGAACCCACATCCTGGTGGCAACGGTGGTTTGGTGGACAAAAGAAAGGATTAGTTATGGGTATGACACACTTCATAACTCATCCTTTGGTAATTTTGATAATTATTACTATGGTTTTATTCTTCTTTAGTTGGTATATGTCTAAAAGAATTAATCGTTTACGGTCTCAACTGATGGATGTGGAATACAGATGTAAATTCCTGACCACAAAATTAAAGTTTTACAAGGAATTGGAATAAATTATGATGCATTATATTTACATAAAAAGCATCAAAGGGGAACTTGAAAAATATTTTTATAAACTTTAAATGTATTCAACGTGTTGTAGGAATGTAGAAATATTGTAAGTTATTAATTTAAGCATATCCAGACATTGAGGGGCCTACCCAGATAGATTACTATCATAATGTAATTTATACACATACTGTAATTTACACACATATGGTTTTAAGTCAAGAATGATGGATGGAGACTTGTGGACCCTGTTGATAATAACCTTTGACCTAGCCTTGTAAGCCTGAATTCCTGTGAAATGTTCACATTTCTATAGGCAATCATTCATTCCATCATGTAATTAGAAGTCTCAAGAAGGTCTTTGTGTGTAACTTACCAAAACATCATAACGTATGGCTTTAATCATAGATATCGAATAATACTATGTTACCACCTATTTTTTCTTAGATAACCAATTATTGTAAAGCAGGCAAACCTTATGTCATTATGTATACGCCCTATGTAATTGAATTTTAAATGTATATAATCCATTGCAGCTAGAATACCAATAGTAACACCAACGACCAATACCTTTTAACATCAAGCTTGGATAAGATCTAGAAGTGAATATACATTGTCTATTGGTCCATATGATTTTAAACCAGACTTTTGTTGTTACCGGATGATGTGTATATTGTAATAAATATACGGTTTTAACTGCAAGACACTCTGATTCGATTTGTTCAGAAAACTGGAAAACAAATATCTCACGGAATGCAAATTTCCTACAGAAGGATACAACAAAATCTATGATATATAACACGTACACTCCCAGTTCTGAGGTAGAGTAAGTGGTAAGGAATATTACCTTGGCTCATACATTATTATGTATTCCATGACCCTTAACAGCATCAGGTTCATTAAAACTCTTGGTTAATAAAACACCTGCATTTGGAAATAACTATTTAACATGTCCAGCTTAGTTTATAGGGGGATCTCTATAAACTATGCACTATAAATTTGTCTTGCGTTCATACAGCGCAGCCCTTACCCTTGCTAAACAGTCCCACTTTTCTTCTCTCATTAGTGCATGCTCCCACAAACCTAGGCATCTCTTTAAATACTTTTAAATCTCTTCTTCACCCTGCTGTGGCCACCCCACAAACTAATATTTCAGCTGATAGCTTTGCATGTTACTTTACTGACAAGATTAAACAGTTAAGGAATGAATTCTCCCTCCTTCTCCCCTCTCTATCTCAACCTCACTTGGACCATACCATCCCTTCCCTCCAAGACTTCTATCCACCTACTGAACAGGAGGTGGGTGCGCTTCTCCTTTCCTCTAGTACCACCATGTGTCCACTTGATCCTATCCCATCCCACCTCATCAGATCTCTCGCCCATTGTCTGGTGCAGTCGTTAATGCACATGTTCAACTGCTTTAATTCTTCTGGTGTTGTCCCAGCTCCCCTTAAACATGCTACTGTTGTACCTGTCCTCAAAAAGCCATCTCTTGACCCTACCTCCCCTTCCAACTATCGTACCATATCCCTTTCTCCTTAAAGCTTTTGGAAAGACTTGTCTACACCCGACTGACTGACTTGTTTCCTCAATTCCAACTCTCTCCATGACCCTCTTCAGTCTGGATTCGGCCTCCTCCACTCCACAGAGACTGTTCTGACTAGAGTTACAAAAGATCTAATTGCTGCTACATACAAAGGCCACTACTCCATACTAATTCTTCTTGACCTCTCTGCTGCCTTTGACACTGTTGATCATGGTCTCCTTCTGTTAAACTCTTGTCCTGTCTCAGTCAAAGTCTCTCAAGGTTAATTTCTTGGTCCCCTTTTGTTCTCTCTCTATACTGAGTTTCTAGGCAAACTCAATTCATTTGGATTCCACTATCACCTGTACGCTGGACACACCCAGATATACCTCTCCTCCCCTGACCTCTTCCCTGCTGTCCTACAACGTGTCACCAATTGCCTTTCTTCTAGCTCTGATTGGATTTCCTCCAGCTTTCTGAAACTCGATCTCTCTAAAACTGATTTTCTTATTTTTCCTTCTCATAACACTGATCCTCCTCCTTCCGTCTCCCTGCAGGTTGACGGTAGCTGCCTCACCCTATCCTTTCAAGCGCATTGTCTGTGTGTCATTTTTGATCCTGGCCTCAACTTTGCACTTCATGTCCAGTCTGTTGCTATAACCTGTCAATTTCAGCTTAAAAACATTGCCCGCATTATGCCCCTTTCTTACGCAAGGTGCGTAATCACATGGGTTACTGTAAATCTCTCCTAATTGGTCTCCCCAGAAGCGGTACTGCCCCCTACAATCTTTCTCTCCTGTCACTCATCTTACACCTCACCCATCTGTCGATCCTTACACTGGCTTCCTTTACCCTACAGGTGTCAATTTAAAATACTAACCCTTACCTATAAAGCTCTAACCAACTCTAGCCCCTCTTACATTTCTTCACTGATTCATTGGTATGGCCCCTCTCAGTCCCTCCGCTCTACTGGTGACCTTCTCCTGTCTGCTGCTCGCACTCACTGCAAATTCATGCCTGCAAGACTTCTTACGGGTGACTCCTTTCTTTCGGAACAGTCTGTCAGACTCTCCCCCTAGTCTTCAATCCTTTAAAAAGTCCCTCAAAGCCCATCTTTTCAGAAATGCTTATGGCCTTCTATCTCTCAAACCTTTCTTTTGCTCTCTCCTAAAAGGCCACACTCCAATCTCACATCCAGTTCTGCTACTTTCCCACCATGTCTGTTTGTTGTCTCCCTCAATACCCTTCCTATTGTGTTTTTATACCGCACCTCCTCTAGACTGTAAGCTCATTTGAGCAGGGTCCTCAACTATCTATTGTTCCTGTTACCTTTTGTTTTTGTCTCATTGGATAAATTCCCCTCTTATTGTAAAGCACTGTGGAATAAGCTGGCGCTAAATAAATGCCAATAATAATAATAATAAACCAGCTGGGCTGGTTGTTGCTGTCTACTTAAAAAATTAGGGTTGAATATTTTAGTGCCTTTGGTCAGTACTCTAGAATGAGAGAATTCATAGTGAATGCTTTAATTTAAAATTCTGTAGTAGAATGTTAGGTATTGATTTTATAGAAGGAAGTATCAGCAAAAAAAACTAAATATCAGATCATATAAGTGTAAGTAAACATAAAAAAGCAAACTGTTCTCCCTACTCCAATAACCTACTAGCAGCAACGCAAACATACAAACATTATAACATACAATACATATTGGTCTTATCTTTATAATGCCTATTCTTTCTCTTTTATTTCCATGTGACATTGATGAGAAGACTGTGGGAAATGCATGTGAGAGAGGGAGAGATGCTCCTGAATAGTGGAGCGCAGCGTTATGTTCCAAGAGGAACGCCAATTTCAGACCCCACACATCACGTGCAGAGAGGGGTCGGCTGTGGTTGGACACAATGTTGTGTTCCAGCGTAAGCGCACAGCGACGGAAATACGCCACAAGTACACATACCCCATTTCCAGTCTACACAGATGAAACCAGAAACTCCTGTTGGTGCCAATTAAAGAATATTTAAAAGGAACAATAAACTATACACTTCAGCAACTGAGGAAGCCTCCAGGAGAGGCAAAACACATTTTGCTACAGAGAGACGTTGCTTAAGACTGTAACGATTCTTTATTTTATTTTATATATCCACTTTGTTTTTACTTCTTTATTGCACTTTATGAAAAATAAAGCATCTGATTTACTACAAACGAATGCTGGTGGATTTATAACTACAATCAAAGGAAGCAGTTTCCAGTACATATTGAAGAGGGAATAGGACCCCACAAATCCTATCCAGCTTACATATTCAGCTTAGTAATTACTGGCTCTCCCTTTGTGAGTGTACCATTTATGTATTAATAGATCCAACACTCGCTTAAGACAATATTGCACTAGCATTTTGCCTTTCTTTTTGTCCCCACTTATAGGATCATATACTATATGTTCCTATTGTATATATTTCCTTAAGATTTGATGTGAGAAACCCCACATAGTGTACATATATTTTATTTTATAATAAAAGATATGTTATATGTTATACCACACAGGTGTATGTGTCTCACTCACTAACTTGACCACACTGGGATTTTTTATATACATTATTTTTCTTCCATCTCTCTTTGGATGTCCTCTCTCTTTCTCTATTTATGAACCATACTTCCTCACTACATTGTGTAATGAATGCTGCTACCAGGCTGATTTTTTTCTCCTATCACTCCTCTCACATCTTGCCAGTCTTTAAAATTCTTACATTGACTTTCTGTACCCTATAGAAGTCAATTCAAAATATCAACCCTTATCTGTAAAGTTTAAACAACTCTAGCCCCCCCGCCCCTACATTTCTTCACTTAATAGTAGGAACGAGAGACCTTCTCTTGTCCATTACTTGTACCTTTAAAACATAAGACAAAGTAAGGACTATTTTGTCTTATGGAGGTTTCCTATGCCTGGCTATCTCTGACCAGTGGAGGAGCAAAATGTGCTCCATTTCCTGTGGTCAGAAAAATGTTCCCACAATTATTACCTTTCCTCCGTGATCTCATGATGCTTCCTGTCAGTATTCCCGAATGTCCTGTCACAGAACGCCTGCAAAACTACAGAATTTCGGTTTTCCTGACACTATAGTGCCCTGAGGGTGCCCCCACCCTCAGGGATCCCCTCCCGTGGCACTGAAGGGGTTAAAACCCCTTCAGCAGCTTACCTTATTCCAGCGCCGGGCTCCCTCGGCGCTGGTGACCTCTCCTCCCACTCTGACGTAAGCTCCCCCATCCAATGTCACAGGAGTCGAATGCACATGCGCGGCAAGTGCCTTGTGCACATTCAAAGTTTCCATAGGAAAACATTTCTCAATGCTTTCCTATGGACGCTCTGCGCGATGGAGGCATAATATGCCTCCAGCGTCACAGATGCGCCTCTAGTGGCTGTCCACATGACAGCCACTAGAGGCTGGCTTAACCCAAAATGTAAACACAGCAGTTTCTCTGAAACTGCTATGTTTGCATCTGAAGGGTTAAAACCTGAGGGACCTGGCACCCAGACCACTTCATTGAGCTGAAGTGGTCTGGGTGACTATAGTGTCCCTTTAAATAAATTCCTACCTACCCCACTCACCCTAAAAATAGTGAGGGGGGAACAATAAAACGAAATACCTGTAAATAAAACAAACTTATGCTTTGATGTCTTCTTTTTTCTAAAAATGTTATTTTTTTCGGCCACAAAAAAGGCCACATAAAAATCCATAACACCCGTCAAACTTTGAAAATAAAATTTTAAAAAACCAGAGTGCAAAAAAAAATGACAAAAAAAAAAATCCCAATGGAAAAAAAAGAATCCATCTTCACTCATGGAGGGCTGAGCTCCGCAGGGCGGGGAAAGACTTATATAGCCTTCCCACACCTTGCAATTAGGCTCAGAGTGCTCTGATTGGTTGGTTTAAGCCAACCAATCAGTGTGTTCTGACAGGTAAATGAAGAGACTGACAGGTAAGTCTCTACATTTACCTGTCACAGCACTCACAATAGGTTCACCCACCATTTTCATTTAGGGCCCCCCACCTGCCACTCATTGGTTGGGGCCATGGGGGAGGACAATACGTCACCCCCATTTTCATTTAGGGCCCCCACCCGCAGCACATTGTCTGGGAAGAAAATAAAGATTCAAAAATAAGTAATATGGGGGGCTTATGGGCATTTGGAGGTAACTAGGAGGACAATTAGATGTAGTAGAGTCAGGAGGGGGGTTAAAATAAAACAGCATGTG